TTTTTTTTTTTACACATACAAATCCTGATTTACAAGTACAAAATATTTATGACCACATTGTGAGCCCATAGTGGAGGCCCTGAAATGTCTGTGTGTTATATTCATCCAGTCTTCATGTAGTAAATGGTTCTCATGTGGAGCTTTTACTCGAGCCCTCAAAGTGCTTTAAGCAGCACGTCTCATTCAGCTGCGTGTACACCCTGAGTGCTCTGCTTTGTATCCACTTTGAGTTTCATGAAGTTTTCTGTTTGGTTTTTGTTGTTCTCGTTACCGTGCTTTAATGGTGCCACCTCCTCTATCTTATTCCACTTTAAGCAACGACACAAAAGATCAGTTGTAACAAGTGAGAACAAGTCTGGCTCTGCATGTTTCACATACTGTCTGTACAGTCAGTAACCTGGGGTTACCTCAGCTTCCTGTTAGCTTATTCTAAATGCTCTTTCTATGTTAGCCTTTGGCACGAGTGCTGTTAAGTACACATAACATACTGTTTTTGGCACCATCCCACAGTAACTGCAGGTTAATATTTATAATAATATAATAATAAAATTCTAATAATGTGTTTGTATAGTCTGTATGCAAAACAACATTGCAAACTGCTGTACACCCTACATGTAGCACAACAACAGAGTATCTGTGTATTTATACACATGTGCATAAGCACATAAATGAATACAATGAAAACAAAGAACAATCAACAACATATCAAACTATGTATTAGAACCTGAACTATAGGATACAATAAAAATAAAATCTGATGCATTAAGAACAAAAACCAACCTACTGTGTTCTGGAGCATGCAGCGCAGACGATGCTGTGCAGGCACGCAGTGACCAACAGAACCAAGCAATCAGCCATCACAGCTGTCACGTGTCAGACAGTCTTCGTGATATGCAGCTCCACCATAGATCCCACCACGCTTGAGCTGTCGGAGGGCCTCACAGCTGACTCTGGACTCCTTTGGTGTACAGAGGAGTTCACGGTGTGCCCGGATCCTGTGGCTGCAAAGCAAATGTAAAGAATCACCATCATTGACCGTTCACATGAGGATGTCTGGTGTGGCGTTGTGCGTTACGGCTAAACTTGTGTTCACTTTGTTCCAGGACTCTTTATGTGCGTTATTTAGGTGCATCTTTACAAGTCTCAGCTGTGCTGCACGTTCTTTTCCACTGATAGTGGGCTGACGTGGATCCATCGACTGACACTTACAGTCAGTTACCTGATGAATGTTTGGTGGGAAGCAGACTGGGAGTGCTGAGCAGTAGCTCAGTCAGTCTACAGTTGGTTCTAGGGCTGTTCGATATAACGAGATATATGGATGATGATATAAAAACATCTATAGTTTCATTTTACGCTATCGTTTGTTTCGTGGTGTCGCAAAATAAACTGTTTACGGCAATAATTTTTCATCGTTCTGATGTCACTGTAGTGGCTGTATTAAGTTCTTAAAGTTCTCTCTTTCTCTTATATTTAATAGAACCACACTATGGACGGACAAGCGCCTGTTTTTAACGACGGTAAAACCAAACGCGTGTCCGCTTGTTCCACATAAACCTTTCACAATAAAGCTCAAGATCCTGTTGAGACTTTTCAAAATAAATTGAATCATGTGAAAGATGCAGATTATTTACGGATGAGAAGCAAAAAAGAGCCGCCAGGTGCTAAAAAATAAACCTTAGACTCAAACGTTAGAACAGGCTTTTCCCCGCAGCACGCCGTGTAATAAATACTCACAAAGAAAACGGCGCCGTTACAGCTTATGTCTAAAAATGTATCGTTTCATGCATCCGTAAAAACACTCGACTCCAGCTACACGACGCTCAGCAGGAAACACTTCACGCAAGTTGAGCTGCCCGAGATTCACAGACTTTATAGAAAATGTTACAATTTTGTGATTTATATCGTTATCGGACGATAGAATTCTTATATCAGGATCTGAGATGTTGGTCATATCGCACAGCCCTAGTTGGTTCTTTGCTAAATTGTCTGTTGTGTGTAGACGCACTGGTTCACCTCCTGGGTTAGGTGCCTTTTTCGCCCCAGCCGTTTGCAGCAGATGGCCCCGCCCCTCCCTGAGCCTGGTTCTGCTGGAGGTTTCTTCCTGTTAAAAGGGAGTTTTTCCTTCCCACTGTCGCCAAAGTGCTGCTCACAGGGGGTCATATGATTGTTGGGTTCTTCTCTGCATGTATCACTGTAGGCTCTACTGTACAGTATAAAGCACCTTGAGGCGACTGTTGTTGTGATTTGGTGTTTTATAAATAAAGCTGAATTGAATGCTTCAAAAAGAGTCATAGGTCAGTTTTAAGTGACTGAACAAACAAAAAGACATTCATCTGAAATCGGACTAGAGCAAAACTATTGTTCAGTATCAGGTTTCAAAATGATTACAAAGTCTGGCTCTTTGGGGGCAAAACAAAAGAAAATGAGGTGTGACTCAAGACTTTTGCACAGTACTGTAGCTTCAGTGTCTTTCCTTTCATTTGTTTCCCCAGCTTTCCAAATGAGTTCCAGGACATCAGATTGTTTGGAGGAAGAGGATGGAGGAGAAGAGGAAGAAGAAGAAAACTACAACCCGACAGAGGTGAAAATGAGTCAGATCGTGATGCCCTGTCACAGCAACCATCGGCAGGAGCTCAGCGTGGGTCAGCTGCTCAAATGGATGGACTCCGCCGCCTGCCTCTCAGGTGAGCTTTGTGTGTCACAGGTGTGTGTTGGAAGTAGTGCATGTTGTAATGACCTCACTGTTCGACCGTGCAGCTGAGAGGCACGCTGGCAGTCCCTGCGTCACCGCTTCGATGGATGACATCCACTTTGAGCACACCATCAGGTGAGAGGAGGCGTGTGTGAGTGTGTATGGAAGGGTTGGGCTGAAGGTAGTAACTCCGCCTTTCCATCTTTCTTCAGTGTGGGTCAGGTGGTGAATATCAGGGCAAAGGTCAACAGAGCCTTTAACACCAGCATGGAGGTCAGTGAACGTCACGCTGCTGTTCTTTGTGTCTTTCGTTGTTTTTGAAATCAGGCATGAAATCATTGCTTGAAAATCCCAAAGTCAGAGCTGGCAGGTGTTTGCACCCCTCCATCGTCAGCAGGCTGAATAAAGTGAAGCAGTCCGAGAGCGTGGACTTGTAAAGCCAACTCAAGGATCAGAGCTGCCCACTGGGCTGTGGGGGGGCATGCTGATTTCCACCACATCATGTTCAATCACAGAAGTTGATAAAAAAGCCTAATACGTTTTCTTTGTGCGGGGCTGTGACATGAATGAACACTGTGAGCTCTAAACACACTAATTCAACTTCCTGCCATTCAGTTAGATGCGTGTGCTGTTCTCACGGGTACAACCCTGTGTGTTTACCTTAACGTACTGTCCCGTGCTTCCCCTCAGGTGGGCATACAGGTAAACTGTGAGGACCTGTTCTCTGATCGTCACTGGAGGGTTTGTCATGCCTACGCCACCTTTGTTACCCAGCGCACAAGCACAGGACAAAAGGTGCGGGGAGTGTGATGCATGATTACGACACGCTGGAGAGTGTGTGGACGTTTGCCACATTACTGATAACTAGATGAATGTCACTGTTGTTTATGTGTTGTTGCATCTCAAAGGAAATTTAGTGCGTAACCTAGTAACCGTTCAAGATAAACATCACAAAATGCTTCACAACAATGCCAGGACATAAAAACAAAGGTTGACCAAAAGTCTGAAAAGAGTTTGTAGTTGTTTTTCAATTCAGTTTGATTTACACAGCATCAAATCACAACAACAGTCAAGGTGCTTTATACTGTACAGTAGAGCCTCAGTGATGCATGCAGAGAAAACCCAACAATCACATGACGCCTGTGAGCAGCACTTTGGTGACAGTGGGAAGGAAAAACTCCCTTTGAACAGGAAGAACCAGGCTCAGGGAGGGGCGGGGCCATCTGCTGTGATTGGTGGGGGGGAGAGAGCTCAGTCTGGGGGCTGCTGTTCGTGTGTCTGCTTTAGTTTTCAGCATCGTATGATGCACAGCGAGCACACGCTGATCACGTGACCTCGGGGACGTGCTGGGGACACATAGCTGACGTTTGTAGAGCTCCAGAGGTCAAAATCCAGCGTCAGAGTCTCAGCACTTATACGGGATCTTTATGACTGTGAGACAAACTGCAGCAGCACCACAGACAGACACCATCATACCACCAGCTCTCATTGTAAAACAGAGTCATGCCTTTTAGTACTGCTGTGGTCTGACGTGTGTGTGTGTGTGCGTGTGTGTGCGTGTGTGTGCGTGTGTGTGCGTGTGTGTGCGTGTGTGTG